TCCTCCAGATGCTGCCTGGCCTGCTGTGTTCTACCAGCCTCCTGTTGGTCTACGTTGGGTTCCAGCATCTGCAGCTTTTTGTGTCTCCGAATCCATTGTCACTTGTCGCAAAAAGTCATCTGGTTCATTAATGTCCTTCTAGGGAAGGAAACTGCCATCCTTACTTGATCTGGCCTACATCTGACTCTGGACCCACAGCAACGTGGTTGACTTTTAACTGCCCTCTGGGCGATTAAAGATGGGCAATAAATGTTGCCTTGCCAGTGATGCCCTCACTCCATGAATGACAAAAGAATTATGCTGTGGGAATGTCTCTCATGGAACAGCCTCTACAGCTACAACAAGTGACAGTGCACCCAGAAACAGCATACACCCTGGGTGTAGCCCATCATCTGTGCAGACAGGCAGATGCTATCGTCATCAGAACAGAAAGACATTGTCATTACAGTGGCCCCAACTTCCTTAAACCATGTCAAAATTGCATCAGGTAGTCTGATTAAAATTTGAACTCTAAACATGTCACACAACACCAGAGACCTACTTGATCGCTGCATTGCATATTCTCCTTCACACAGATGTCCAGCAACCTTTTCTGCTGTATGTCGTCTGTCAAAGGTTTAAAACGGAACTTTGAACATCGAGATGTTAGTGGTTCAATTATCCTGAAAAGACAGAAAAAAGAATCATGTGTGAGCAAACAGAGCTGTTGTACATATGTTCTTTATGTTGTTAGTCACTAACAGTCCCCATTAACAACTATTCACCCTCCCAGCCTGATCATTAGCAACTCCTTTGTCTGTCCAACTGCTCTTCTCTCTCTTTGGGCTCTAGCCTATCGTTTACTCCCTACCCCACTCACCTCCCTATCTTCTGCATATAAACTGATGTTTTCCCAGCCATCATCAGTTCTGAGGAAGGGCCACTGGACCCGAAATGTTAACTCTGTCTTTTCCCTCACAATGCTGCTTGACCTGCTGAGCTTTTCCAGCAACTTTGTTTTTGTTCTTTATGGTGACTTGATGTCACAGCCACAGTGGGGCCGGCATTATATTCCGTTCTTTACATTGTAAAAGGCAGATTACACAAGCTTACCCTGCAGCAACATAGTTATTCTGCAAATCTTCCACTTTCTATGTGTGGACCCACCATCGTAAGGAATAACTTTGCACCAACTAAATTGTATAAATTTTGAGTTGCTATACCTGCCACATATCAATACTTCACACCAAAATAATGGGTGAGAGAAGGACAAGAACACTTCCTCCAAAATAAGGCAAACAATTAAACTGAGTCCCCATAAACACAAGATCAATGAGGTAAACATGCTGAATTACAATCACTGGTCGAACCTCATCCATCCTGACCGCTGTTAGAAGCAGACATTTATAAGCGCCTGTAATTAAAGGTCATTATTTTTTAGTTATCAAAGTTTAGGAAACCCAACTCAACCAGGAACCTCTTCTGAAGTCATTTATCCTACATGCAGATTACTCCTTTTAATCAGAAGATGATGCATGTGCACAAAATAGACTAACAAAATATAATAGACTACAATTATATTTTAATTAAAACATAGTGGTTCAAGCAAATATAACTCAAGGAACCCACAAACTTCTTGAAAAGAAAAGAAAAGAACATCCAGCTGATGTACAGAAGCAGAGAGACTTGGGGTTAAAGATACACAGACCACTCAAATTAAAATAAATAAGGTCATAATAAAAACAACAACTCATTTCTAAAGGCAGAACTGAAATCAAAGAATTTGTTAAACTGTACAAAATCTTTGTTCGGTCACAACCAGAAAAACGGTTTTAGTCTCCACATTACGAGTAGTATATAGACAAAATAAATACTAAATTGAGCAGACTAAGTTTCTTTTCCTTTGAAAAAGAGACTGAACTGTGGCTCATATAGGTCTTTAAGATTTTGAAAAAATTAAACAGGGGAGTCTTATACATGTTTCCATTTGCCAGAGAGGCAAGAACTAGAGACTATCAAAATAAATCAGTCACAAATAAACCCTGTACAGAATTCAGGTAAAACCCTTTTACCCTTAGAGCAGGTAGAACAAGGAACTCAAAACAACATAATAGTTGAGGTGACTAGTATAGACGTAGTTAAAAAAAAGCTAGATTAGTATAAGGAAAGAGGAATACAAGAATCAGTTCCTTGGTTGTAATTGTTTGGGGCAGCACAGTGGCTCAGTGGTTAGTACTGCTCCCTCACAGCACAAGGGACCAGCAGGGTTTGATATCAGTCTTGGGCATCTGTGTTGAGTTTGCACATTCTCCCCATGTCCATGTGGATTTCTTCTAAAGATGTACAGTTTAGGTGGACTGGCAGGGTTACAGGGATAGGGTGGGGGCTGGGTGGGATGGCCTTCAGAGGGTCGACTCAATGGGCCGAATAGCCTCTTTCCGGACAATAGGAATTCCATGACTACAGAGCTTAAACACTGCTGACTGGAGACACCAGAGTGTCAATATTTTTCATCTTGTACTCATCAGGACTAGGATACAAGTTAGAGACTTGAAAAATATTTTCCAGTTTATTTCTTGGATCTTAGACCTCTTGAATGTAACACAAAAAGCTTCAACTGTGTGCCTTCTGTTAGCAACATTTAATGCAAGAACATGTTGATACAGTTATACGAAGAGACACAGGAGGCAGCTTGTGTGGAACATAAACACTGGCCTGGACCAGGTGGCCTAAAAGGCTGGTCTCTGCATTCTAAATATCACACTACATACAATGTAAAATTAGTATATTCAACATTCAAATTCTAGCTTAAAAGGACTTGACTGAAAAGTAGTTAAGACAAATGTAGACAAATTAGTAATTTTGTTCAATACAATTTCCTATTTTAATTCAATGAAATGGTTTTAATATATGTCAAATAAAATTTGATCTCTTTAATGGGATAGCTTTAGGTCGTTATTGATTTATATGCAATTCTTTAATGAACAAGCAATACACCCAAAATTAACTCTCTTGTGCACGAGAGTGACATGAAATGAATTGAATATTGTGGCCTTTTAAATAGTTGTGATTCTCCCACCTGCTGATATAGTTGCAAATTAGGCAGAAACGTGTGGTTTTTGATTCTCTTTCCATTGTTCGGCGAAGAGCAGCTTGTGCAGCATTCGTCATGGAATCTGCTTCATCTAAGATGACGATTTTAAATGGTGGAGCAGGTTTTCCACTGGAAGAAATAACAAAGATTGCATTGGTCTAAGGAAAAGATCTACAAACTGGATTACATTCGTGAAAAAGCACAAAGGGAGTCACTTACAGTAGCTCCAAAAGCTTGTTGCCACTCTCTCCCATAGCCTTCTGTCCCTTTAGTCCCAAGATCTATATCTTACCCCTTCTTGAAAACATTCAAAGTTTTGGCCTCAACTGTTTTCTGTGACAGAGAATTCCACAGGATCGTCACTCTCTAGGTAATGAAATTTCTCATCTCAGTCCTAAATCACCTACCCTGTAATTCTTAGTTTGTGACCCCCTGATTCTGGACTCCCTGGTCATCAGGAACATCCTTCCAGCATCTTAACAAAAAATACCCAAAGAACTGCAGATGCCGGAAATCAGAAACAAAACAGAAATTGCGGGAAAAGCTCAGCAGGTCTGGCAGCATCCGTGGAGAGAAATCAGAGTTAACGTGTCCGGTCCAGTGACCCTTCCTCAGAATCTTTTTGATTTTCTTTCCATTGTTCAGTGAACAGTAGCTTGTGTAGAGTTCGTCATCGAATCTGCTTCAACTGAGATGGCGATTCTAAACATCAGAGTAGGTGATCAAGACAGATCAGGACCTTTCGGAAGAAAGGTCACTGGACCCAAAACGTTAACTCTGCTTTCTCGCTACAGATGTGCCAGACGTGCTGAGTTTCTTCCTTTATCTAACCTGTCCAACTGTGTTCAAAATTTATACGTTTCTATAAGATCCCGTGTCACTCTTCTAAATTCCTGTGAATATAGAAACATAGAAAAGAGGGGCAGGAGTAGGCCATTCGGCCCTTAAACCTGCTCCACCTTTAAATATGATTGTGACTGATCATCCAACTCCTGTACCATCCTTCTCCCCATCCCCTTTGATCTGAGGAAAATAGTCAAATTTTAACTTCCATCATCTGATCGTCTGTATTTACCACCATAACACAATCTCTGGTGTCCCATTCATCTACAGATTTGCACAGTTTCTTTCGAAGTAATATTATCCTTCCTTATTTAGCCACGTACAAATTAGCATTCAGCAAGATATTTGTTGTTCTGGCTATAGCCTGAACTCCACATTCCTGTCTTGCCTTGATAACCTGAGACTCCTTCATTACTCCGAAATGTATCTACCTCTCCCTCAGAAGCATTCAATTACACTACTTCAACTGTTCTTGCAGAAGAGAGTTCCAAAATCTCACAACTCTCAGACAAAAAAAAATTCCTCTCTGTCTCGGTCTTAAATAGGAAACCCCTTATTTTTATATTGTCCCCTAGTTCTGGATTTACCCCACAAGGGACGACATTCTCTCAGCATCCACTTTTAAGGGGAGGTGATGGCCTAGTGCTGGACTGTTAATCCAGAGACCCAGGTAATGTTCTGGGCCCCTGGGTCCAAATCCTGCCACGGCAGATGGTGGAATTTGAATTCAATAAATATCTGGAAATTAAGAGTCTAACGATGACCCTGAATCCAATGTCAATCATCAGAAAAACCCATCTGGTTCACTAATGGCCTACATGTGGTTACTGCAATGTTGTTACTTTCAAATGCGCTCTGAAAAGGCTTAGCAAGCCATTCGGTGGTATCAATTGCTACAAAGTCTCAAGAAATAAGCGAAACCTGATGGATCACCTGGCATCAAACTAGGCACCGGAAAAGACAATGGCAGAAACAGCCCTGTCGACCCTGCAAAGTCCTCCTCACTAACATGTGGGGGTTAGTGCCAAAATTGGGAGAGCTGTCTCACAGACTAGTCAAGCAGCAGTCTAACACAGTCATACTCATAGACTCATACCTTACAGACAATGCCCCAGACACCACCATCACCATCCCTGGGTACGTCCAGTCTCACCAGTAGGACAGACCCAGCAGGGATGGAGGCACAGTGGTATACAGTCGGGAGGGAGCTGCCGCGGGAGTCCTCAACATTGACTCCAGATCTCATGAAGTCGTGTGGCTTCGGGTTAAACATGGGCAAGGAAATCTCCTGCTGATTTTTCACGTACCACGTTCCCTCAGCTGATGAATCAGTACCCCGCCACACTGAACAACACCTAGAGGAGGCACTGAGGATAGCAAGAACACAAAATGTACTCTGGGTGGGGCATTTCAATGTCCACCACCAAAAGTGGCTCAGCAGTACTACTGATCGAGGTGGTCGGGTTCTAAAGGACATAGCTGCTAGACTGGGTCTGCGGCAGGTGGTGAGGGAACCAACAAGAGGGAAAAACATACTTGACCCCATCGTTACTAATCTGCCAGCTGCAGATGTATCTGTTCATGACAGTATCGGTAAGGTGACCATCACACAAACTCCCGCTTTCACATTGAGAATAACCTCCATCATATTGTGTGGTACTATCAACATTCTAAATGGGACAGACTTCGAACAGATCTACCAACTCAAGATTGGTCCATCAACAACAGCAGAATTGTACTCCAGCACAATCTGTCACCTCATGGCCCGGCATATCCCCCACTCAACCATTACCATCAAGCCAGAGATCAACCCTGGTTCAATAGTGTGTGCAGGAGGGCCATGCCAGGAACAGCACCAGGCATACCTGAAGATTAGGTATCAACCTGGTGAAGCCACCAAACAGGACTAGTATACGCCAAACAGATGAAGCAGCGAGTGATAGACAGAATTAAACAATCCCACAACCAACAGATCAGATCTAAGCTCTGCAGTCCTGCCCCATCCAGTTGTGAATGGTGGTGGACAATTAAACAGCTCACTGGAGGAGAAGGCTCCACAAATATCCCCATTCTCAATGATGGAAGAGCCCAGCACATCAATGCAAAAGCCAAGGCTGAAGCATTCGCAGCAATCTGCAACCAGAAGTGCTGAGTGAATGATCCATCTCGGCCTTGTCCAGCGGTCCCCAGCATCATAGGTACCAGTCTTCAGCCAATTCGATTCACTCTGCGTGATGGCAAGAAACTATTGGAGGTACTTCATATTGCAAAGTCTATGGGCCCAGACAATATTCCATCAATAGTACTGAGCTCCAGAACTTGCTGCTCCCTTAGCCAAGCTGTTCCAGTACAGTTACAACACTGGCATCCACACAATGTGGAAAATTGCCCAAATACATCCTGTCCGCAACAAGCATGATAAATCCAACCCAGCCAATTACCGTCCCATCAGTCTCTCCTCGAACATCAGTAAAGTGATGGAAGGTGTCAGTAACGGCGCTATCAAGCAGCACTTGCCACCAATAACCTGCTCAGTGACGCCCAGTTTGGGTTCCGCCAGGGCCACTCAGCTCCTGACCTCATTACAGCCTTGGTTTAAACATGGACTAAAGAGCTGAATTCCAGAGGTGAGGTGAGAGTGACAGCCCTAGATATCAAAGCTGCATTCGACTGAGTGTGGCATCAAGGAGCCCTAGCAAAACTGGAAACAATGGGTATCAGGGGAAATCTCTCCAGTGGTTAGTGTAATACCTGCCACACAAGAAGACTGTTGGGGTTGTTGCAGGTTCGTCACCTCAGTTCCGGAACGTCTCTGCAGGAGTTCCTCAGGGTAGTGTCCTAGGCCCAACCAACTGCAGCTGCTTCATCAATGACCTTCCCTCCATCGTAAGGCCAGAAATGGGGATGTTCACCGATGATCGCACAATGTTCAGCACCATTCGTGACTCCTCAGATACTGAAGCAGTCCATGTTCACATGCAACAAGATATGCACAATATCCAGGCCTGGGCTGACAAGTGGCAGTAACATTCGTGCCATAGCTGTGTGTATTTACAAGATTGTGGCCTGGGGCCAAAGTAACTAGGCCCAGTATAAAATTGGCTAAACAATTTGTGTAAGTTAAGGTCTGACGGAATGTAAAGAGGCCAAGGTTACCACAGGGCAAAGGCAAGCAAGGATCAGCGCACACCTGTTGTGTGTATTGAGCAATGCGAGAGTCATAATGAGCTGAAACTCATTCAGCCATAACAATAGGGAGAGACTCTGTTGGGGTCTTTTGGCCAGACCTCCTGGCACCATGGAGTAATCAGATCTTGGAAAAGGGATGGGTACACCTGGGATAACCTCATTGTGCACTGTGATACCTGCCCTATGACCCTACTGGCTGAAGTCAGAGAACATTCCAGAAGGGCTCAGAAAGGGGGAGTAAGAAGGGACGCCTGACGGCCATTCCCTCAGCAAAGACTTGGCTGGTGAAGACTCTGTGTGAGACCCACCTTTGTACCAAGAAGACCCCGAGTACACCCCTCGATAGAGCTCAGTGAATTGGATCCAGCAGCCCAATCAAATTCACCAGAGCAGGCAGTAAGTCTGCTTCTCAGGCAGTCAGCCTAATTTGGGGGAAAATTAAACTAATTTGTTGTGTAAGAGTTGTTTGTTTAACTTAAGTGTGTTTTAATAAAACTAAGTCTGAACCACAGTCCTTTGTCTCATACAGCAAGAGCACTTGAGTAAACACATTTTATGAGTAATAAACTGGTTCAAGTGTCTGTACAGAATATTTCACAGGCAACAAAGATACACTGCAGAAATTCACCCAAACTCACAAACACTTCCAACTAGAAGCGCTCAACTGCTCCTCATATGCCATGCTCGCCATTCCTGGGATCATCCTTATGAACCTCCTCTGGACCACCCCTCTAAGACATCAAGAAACAGCTCAACACAGTGGATGCGACAATAGCTACAGGCCCCGACAACGTTCCTACAACAGGACTGAGGACTTCTACAGCACAACAAGCCATGGCCCTGGGCAAGCTGTCTCAGTGCAACTCCAACTACAACGTCTATTCGACAAGAAGGAAAATTGCCCAGCTATGCTCAGTTCCAAGAGGGGGATAACTCCAACCTCTCAGTCCCATACCTATAGTCAAATTGTTGGAAGTTCTCTTTAACAGAGCTGTCAAACAGCACATACACAGAAGTAGCCTGCCTCGTGCAGTTTCTGAAAGGTCCCCATGTGGAAATGCCACTGGATTACTACCCAGAGGACCGGGCTAATGCTCTGGCAGCCAGGGGAAGTTAAAAACAATGATTAAGTATTGAAATTTGAAATCTGGTCTCAGTAATAGTAACCTTGAGACAAATGTCGATTGTAAGCACTAACTTGATTCCTTAATTTGAAGGTTTTGGAGTAAATCTGTAGCTCGGGTTGTGGGTGTTGAGGTTGGTTGGCTCGCCGAGCTGATTTGTTGTTCCGCAGACATTTCGTTACCGTGCTTGGTAACATCCTCAGTGCAGCCTCTGATGAAGCTTCAGCATGTCTTCCCGCCTGGTTTTTAAACTCTGGAGTCCGTTGAGCTGGATTGCCTCACTTAATGTCCTTTCAGGAAGCAAATCGGTCATTCTTTCCTGGTCTGGTCTAAAAGTGACTCCAGACATGCAGAAATGTAGTTAAGTCTTAAATGCCCTCTGAAATTGCTGAACAAGACATTCACCCATATCTATCTGCTCCAAGGTCTAAAAGGATGGAGATAACAAGGTGTAGAGCTGGATGAACACAGCAGGCCAAGCAGCATCATACT